CCGGTCTGTTGCAGGTCTGCCTACCTTGGAGGCACGGGCGGTGGATCTGCCCTGCCCCTCCTACCACGCCTGCGGACCCCTGGGCCTGATCTGCAGGTTGGTCACAGGTCTGCTCACCCTGCGGGCATGGGTGGCGGTTCCGCTCCACCCCCACTCCAATTGGGGTCACGTGACCACCACACCGGCAGGGCCTGATCCGGGCGTGGGAGAAGGATCTGCTCTGCCCCTACTCCAGTTGGGGTGACGTGTGTACCACACTGGCAGGCCACTGGGCCTGACCCGCCAGGCTGTCACAGGTCTGTTTACCTTGCAAGCGTGAACGGCGGCTCTGCCCTGCCCCTCCTACCACGCCCATGTACCACTGGATCGCGGGTCTGCCCACCTTGCGGGTGCGGGTGGCGGCTCCGCTCCGCCCCCTCTCCAATTGGGGTCACGCGGTCACCACGCTGGTGAGCCGCTGGGCCTGCTCCGGGCGCTGGCGGCGGCCCGGCTCCTCCCCTCTGGCTCGATGACAAATTGAGGAGACTCGGGTGACTGTGCCTCACCCCCCCTACCAGGAGACCAACTGTTTATGTCACCGCTGGTATTGATGAAGTTCTCTCCTCCGCCGCTTTCTGATGACATCAGATCTCTGCCATGTTGGTATCCTATGCGAATGGCAGCATTTCGTTCCCCTTGCCGGGCAACCAAAGCAACGGGTGAGTCCTGACCGGCCCTCAGCAGGACCCTGACCGAGAAGCAGTTTCCGCGGGCTCCTAGCCCCGGGCCAGGGAAGTTCCAGGAGTCGGAACTCGGCCGCTCCGTGCTCGGTGTAAGCTCCTATAAGTGTAGGCTCCAAGAAGCAGTCCCCGCGGGCTCAGTTCCGGGAGCCGGAATTCGGCTGCTTAGTGCTTGGTGTATGCTCTGATAGGAGCAGGGTCCAAGAAGCAGCCTCCGCAGGCTCCGCAGCCCTGGGCCAGGGCGGTTCCGGGACGGTTCCGGGAGCCGGAACTCGGCCGCCCCGCGCTCGGTGTTCGCTCCGATAAGATCAGGTTCTAAGAAGCACCCAGGCACTGAACCCTAGCAATCTGTCTGCAAGCCGCAGGCGAATTGCCAGCTCAATGCATTTTCATAAACTGAACACAACCTACAGTTCAAGTCACCCATAACCACCTCCCACCAAAATCGCATACTGCCTTCCAGTCACTAATCTCACTCTTGCTAGGAATACCCATTTTCTTGACACCTAACCGTACAGATTAATTTGGCTTATTTTTGTTTGGAATTGAATAATTTCTTAGGCTTATGATTTTGATCTTAACTCTTTCCCATCTCTTAAGGTACTAATAATATTAATCATGTCTACCAAGCCCCTTATTGCTATTCATATATAGGTATCCTGCTAAGCACTTTATAAGCATTTTCTTATTTCACAGCAAACCCATGAGATAAATATTAGCTATTACAATACAGTCCCTTTCCACTCTTCATAAGCAGTAAATTCCAAGGCAATACAACTGTGTTGGCAACACAGCTTAATGATCAGATGAAGGGTTCAGACCCTGGAATGGGATTCCTGGCTTAAATCTAACTTTACTACTTGCCAACTATATTACCTATTTCTCTTTTTTCTTTTTGTGGAATAATAATAATAATAATAATAACAACAAAACAACTTTGTAGGATTGTTTCAAGAATTAAAGAGAACATTTATGAAGCACATAGTTCCTTTTTTTAAAGACCTATTTGCTTTCATGTTTTTTATTAATTATTTTAATTGTGTATATTTGACAGCAGAATGCATTTTGATTCATTGTACACAATTGAAGCAAAACTTTTCATTTCTCTGGTTGTACACAAAAGTGTCACATCATAGGTGCAGTCTTACATGTACCTAGAGTAATAATGTCCATCTCATTCCACCATCTTTCCTGCCCCCATACCCTCTCCCTTCCCCTCCTTTCCCTTTGCCCAATCAGAGTTCCTCCATTTTTCCCATGCCCCTCCCTTCCCCCCATTTTGGATCGGCATCCACTAATCGCAGAGATCATTCGGTCTTTGGCTTTTTGAGACTGGCTTACTTCGCTTTCAATGCTATAAATAACTTTTTAGCAAACATGGTACACACTGTTCTTTTGAGTTTGTGTGCATTTTCTACTGTGAATTTACATGATTTTATTAGCCACAGTCTGTACCATTTGGGAGTTCATCGAAACCACTGAGTGGCTTGGCTGTTGCTTCGGAGGAACATGGCTAACTGCCACCTCACTGCTGAGCGGGAAGGGAATGTTTTCATTTCATAGCCTGCTCAAGGCCACAGAGGTGGCCTGTTAGATAATATAGTTCCCATAAACTGAATATGTTATACTGATATGTTTAAAGTAGGGACATCTAGTACCAGAAACTAGAAAAAACTGAGAGGCAAATTCATTACTGGCTGGCATAACCTTCAAAATAGCAAGCTGGATATAACAGAGGGTTTCCTGAAGCTTAATGACCATCTAAAGTCAATGCTGGCCTTTAGCAGTCTCATGATTAACATATCCAAGCAGATCATTAATCTCCGGGAAATGCTTAGTATTTTGATTGCTGTTTGCTTCATTGAGGTTGTGAATAATTTAGTAAGGACTGATTACATAAATTTGAACAAAGAAAAGACTGTTTTTTTTTTTTTTCAAATATGCACAGCAGCACCTCCTAGTGAGCACAATTTATAATCATAAAAGGTTTAAAGAATTTCAAAAAATGCAAGATTATAGATTTGTCATAGGTTTTGATTAGTAGAAAGTATTTTCTTGTTAAAAGTTAAAAAAAAAAAACTATATATTTTCAAAATGTGGAAAGAAGTCCAGATAGTTGCAATGTAGATGACTTTTTTAAAAATAAAAATTTAAATTCTCATTCTGTAATAACATAGTAAAATAGAACACTGAAACATTGGAAATTTTTGTTGTAATAAGAATATCTTTTCTATTTTTGCAGGTCAGAAAGTGTTCTTTGTGTGATATCGTTTCCTTTCCAGCAAAGACTGCTTTAACTAGCATAATATATGCTTCATATGCAGCACTAATTTATTTGGTAAGTTCTATTGGAATCTAGAAATAAATATAACTTATTTTAAGCAATGTTAAAGATAATACTATACAATTGTGTGCTGTATGATGTTATCTTTAATGATACTATCCACAAACTAAGGTACCATTCTCTTGTAACACAAAATAATTTCATGTTTGATACTTTCTGAGGAGCCAAATGATCTAACAAAAATCAATTTTCTTTAATAACTAAAATTATTTTCAGAAAGTTTATTACTGTTGGAAGGCTTTTGGTCAAGACATTTTAGTTTTTGCTTTCACTTAGCTACATTTGTTCCATTTATTATATCCTATGATAGCTGCAGTTCAGCATTCATCATTTTTGGGTCTATGAATTTGGAGAATACAAATATTAGCATATAATATATTGATGACAAGTGCTGTACATGACAAAAATATTGAAGATTTTATAAGGGCTTTATTTTCTGTTAATCAATAGCCATTTATATTTTACTTTAAAAACACTTCTAACATAGAAAGAGAAAAGTGCACAGCTTGATGAATTATCACAAAATCTATTAATCTATGCAGTAATCAGGTAAAGAAGCAAAACATTACCATCATTCTAGAAATCTCTTTCTTTTACACTTAAAATCATTACCCTTTAAAAATTTTTTTTTTAGTTGTAGATGAATACAATACCTTTGTTTTATTTATTTTTATGTGGTGCTGAGGATGGAACCCAGTGCCTCACACATGCTAGGCAAGCACATTACCACTGAGCCACAAATCCAGCCCCTTCATTACCCTTTTCTATAAAGGCAACCACTACCATGATAGTTCAGCTTTTAAACTGTATGTAAATGAAATAATATAGCTTATAATCTTTTGTGTTTGTCTTCTTTTGCTCAGCATCATTGTGAGATTCATTTGTTGTCTGTAGCAATAGTTTGTTCATTGTCATTGCCATGTAGTATTCCCTCTATCATCATTATTTTACCACTTCAACTGCTGATGTTGATCATTTGGAGTATTTCCACTTTGGACTATTGCCGCAGTCTGGCTGGGCACAAATGCCACAGTCTGGCTGGGCACACAATCACGAGCCACCACACAGCTTGTAGAT